CAACACACTGCAACACACTGTCTATAAATCAATGCTTCAAACTGAGTTGCTTCTTAATTAAAATATATTTCCAAAGAATATAGTGTTCCTGGAAATCATTGAAGTAGTTAAAGTTATTACTTACCTCTGACTTACATGTAAGTATCTTGATGAGTTTGTTTAAAGCAAACTCTCGTAAAATATCGTAAACGTTATTTACGTATACACGTCTTACTTTCATATTGCAAAACCGAAACTGAAATTAACAAAAAATAAAAACTTATAAGAGAATATATCAATAAGATATTAGATACTGTATGATTTTATTCATTAACATAAATACTATAAAGACCAAACATTAAATAGATCGAAGAATCGTGAGTACACACTTGATATCAAAAGGTATCGACTGTTTTAGATCAATTTATCAGACTACTTGAAAATCAAGAAACAAATCTTTCGAACATTTATTTTAACGGCACACAATTATTTAGTGTCAGATTATTATTTGTATATGCCAATAAATTGTTAGAAATTGTTTAATCTTAAAAGCGTATATATGAAACTAGTAATTGCTAAGGTTACAATCCATATTTTTATTTCTATGATAGATATTTTCAACAACAACAAAAATGTAGCCTCGGTCAGAAGATTCGAATAAAGTATTTTATTTTAACTATTTGTTGCACTAGACATTAGTCCCTTATACAAAAAATTTAATGTTCCATGTTTATGGTAATATCCAAAATGAAAATATTCTACTGGTAATCGCAAGTGGATATATATGCAGTGAATTTGGAAAATATGCCCTGCTGTTTATAAATCTAGATTCTTGTTTTTTTCATAATTATACTTTAAAGCATATTTCACGGCAATAATACAAGTATTACTCTTTTAAGTGTTAGCAAACAGATAAATTAATTACAATTTATAAATGTGCACAAAATTAGAAAAATCGCACTGAATGCATTCCAGTAGCTCCTTCAAATGGCTTCTATGTTATACCACTGTTTCAGGTTAGGGTGAAGGTTGGCGCCTGTTAAAACGTTTAAACCTGTTTTGTTTTACACTAGTCTTTTTGGGATCCCTTTATAGCTTGCTGTTCGGTGTGAGCCAAGGCTCCGTGTTGAAGGCCGTACTTTGACCTATAATTGTTTACTTTTAACACATTGTGACTTAGATGGATAGTTGTCTCATTGGCACTCATACCACATCTTCTTATTTATATCTATATTAGCTAATGTTGTCCATTTATAAATACATAAATAAAATTCTTGGTGTACTTGGATATGCTGAATCTAAATGTGTTTTAAGATTTTGGATATTGGACCATAAGAGGTAAAAGTTCAATTTCAAATTATTCAGTCCTTTGACCAAATTTATTGTTTGTCAAAAACCTATGCTGTGTCAAATATTTAATCACAATACAAATTCAGAGCTGTCTCAAGCTTAAATTAGTGTCCATACTTGCCCCAACTGTTCATGGTTCGACCTCTGCTGTCGTATCAAGCTGCGCCCGCGGAGCATTTTATTGCGGATACTATGATAGATAGAGGGAAACTTCAAACAGCAAAAATGTTCAGCACAGTAAGATCTTCAAATAAACCAAACATGGTCGAAACCGTCAATTGATCTCTTATATGAGTTATTGCCCTTGAAAGATGATTTTATCATTTATTTTTGTTGTTGTTGCAAAAACTATGGTAGATAGACAGAAACTTTACTGGGCAAATATGTTCAGCAAAGTAAGACCTACAAAAATTCACTTGTTCGAAATCATCAATTGGTCTTTTATAAGAGTGATTGCCCTTGAATGATTTTTTCAGTTTTTCACAGAAACTATGATAGATAAAGAGACACTTTAAATGGTATGTTTAAACAAGCATTAATGTACATTAAAAAGCAAAATCTACACTGAAAATTTTAGTTGAGTGATTCAAGCTCTTAGGAGCCTTTTGTTTATTCTTCAATAGATGTACATTTTTAGCTTACCTGGTCAATGCACGGATCGTGTAAGCTATTGTCATCACTTGGTGTCTTGTCGTACACTTAAAAAAAAAAGCTTTATGACATTCAACCAAACTATTTTAAGGATCCTTAGGGTATCTTGTGAAGATCTAGAGTGTGTGTTTTCTGTGTCCCAATATCAACCAAAAAAGCTGCTAGCTGCCATGGTTGAAAATTGACACAAATGGCTGGGTTGCACAGAATTATGATTAAACAACGGAGAATGGTCCATAATCATGAGAATAAACATTTAAATACTAGTACTAGTATATGGAAATTAAAGATAAAAAAAAGAAAATTTCTTTAAAAAACTCTATAATTGGAGGTGTGCAAACTTTATGTGAAGTGTCTTGGTTGAAAACCATAGGGGGAGTTTAAGATATAAAACTTTTATCATCTTTTGAAAATTACTGAGTTCAAATTTTTTTTCTCGCCTTGATGGAGTCAAAAAGCGAGACATAAGTATGCTGTTTCCGGCTGCGGCGGGCGGCGTCAACAATGTATTAGTTTGTGATTAGGTCTAGTTTGTGGTGAACCACAAGTGGTAGGTCAATGATATTTGATATGCAAATTGATTGGCATTTGCAAGTATCGTTTCCATGGAGATTATATAGCCCACCCCCTCATCATGGTTCATTGACTTTGAAACTTTTAAATAGTTTACACGTTAATAATTGTGTTTAGGTTTGTTTAAAGGGAACGACTTGTAATAAGTCAGTGGTATTTGGTATGCAGTTGTATTAGCAGTGGCACATCTCATTTCCATGTAGATTGTTTAGCCATGTACCTTCAGTCATGGTTCATCGACTTTGAATATTTGCATAACTTACATGTTAAAGTATTGCTATTTTAATTTCAACATTTGCATTATCAAAATTACAAAAAAGGCGAGACATATCTCTGTGATAACATTTTATTGAGAAAATATGAAATATTTCTCAAATAATGCCATAATAGTAGGTGCACTGCAAAAATTCATTATGTGTGCAATATTTCTGTGAAGTTTTAAGAATTCCGAGTTGAGAACTGACTGTAGGAGTTGATTACACCAAAAAGTAACTACTTTTCCCTGCAGCCCGACATTGCCATATAATAAATAAGCCACTTTCGCACTGTGTACAACCAGTGGCAAAAAAAATCTTACATAAGGTAAAAATGCAAGTACTTGTCTTGTATCTTGAAAAGTATATAGTTAGAGAAAATCTAAAATCTGAAAGAACTACTTTGAATGTAAAAAAATATCGTCTTTCTATGTCTGCAAAAATTTCAGAGGACTTGTTATAAGAGTTGTTGCAGTTAAACGATTTTTTTTACCAATTTTAGCGTTTTAGCTTTTATAGAAAGAGCATCTCCAAAGTAAAATATTCTACTTTATAACAACTTTTCCTGGTATTGAGAGATTCGTTTCTTTGTGACAGTAGTTTTAAAATCTAATATCATAACATTTTTATCTTTAAAAATGATAAGCATTATCTTATGCTTTACCGGGGCTGACATAGGCTTAGTCTGCTACCCCATTCAGTTTATATGCAAGAAAACCATCAATGAACTGTTTATGGTAGTAATGCTCTTTAATGACATTTTAGATAACTCAAGCATTTTTTGATTTTTTATTTAGATAGCTTCTTGTAAACACAATTTTGTTATTAGTTTTTGCGCTTTTTTACAGGAGAGGTTGGTGGAAAACTTCTGCTTGCAATTCATTTGTATCATTTGCTAGATTACCTATACTCTAGTGTCTATGAACATGATGAAGTAATGGACGATTTAGAGCTTGACATTTTGTACATTGTACATTCACGTTGAACTGAACCATCCTAATATTCACTTATGTCATTTATGTTTTACTGATCATTTTAGTAAAATGGAGGATTCTCGATTAGGACAGGATACAACCCTTTTAATTATGCCCCATTGCTGTTATGAAAGGAAATTTACGTTCGTTAGAAAAGTTTGACATATAAAGTGACAATCGCAAGGACTGGCTATGAAATAAAAGTATTGTCATCTCTGGACTTATCTCGTCCGGCAGTAGAGTCCATGATCGTTTGACTGTGCGGGATGTACGCAGTACTTTGGAAAAAAAGTTAAATGTTTATTCTATGTATATATATATCTGTGTGCATTTTTTTAGGCGTAAAAGAGTTACAGATATTTATCGCTTACACCAAGTAAACGAGGGGATTATGGTGTTAATAAGTTACAGAAAATGCAGCTTCAAGTTGCTAGAACAGTAACTGGTTTACCAATTTTTACAAGATCAAGGCTTATTTACAGGAGAGTTTGGTGGAAAACTTCTGCTTGCAATTCATTTGTATCATTAACTATACGTCTATGGAATAAGCGTGATGCAGATACAATTCGTAAATTTAAAACTGAACTAAGCGTTGTGTGTAATATTTTTTCATGCATTGCTACGCCTTATCCCCTCTTTTTATCCAAGAACCTTGAACCCAAAAAGTAAAAGTTAATACTATAAAATTATTTATTATCTTTGCGTTTATTAATTTCAAAGTTTCAAAGGCCAAACCTTATCCGTGATGTTTGATTTCGATTTTCTTCTATCTGAACAAATATACACGGGGGGATATTGCAATGTTATCGTATGCTCGAAATTTGCAAAAATCAACCCCTCGCAAACAATTTCTACTTTGTAGAACGAGTTTTGCAAATAAATATTCTTCTTACTCGTACTCATCTTTGGTGTTTACTGATTTCGTAAATTATGATCTCTTTTGAGCAAAGGTATATATTTTTTAATTGCCTTAAATGAACACCGAAACCCATCTGACGTGAACTTTGCCTAAGGGAGTGAGTGGCAAAGAACCTTAGTATCAATACTAGTACAGTTAAAAAAATTATGAACTGGGAATTATGAACAAACTATGATGAAATGTTACAAATTGTAAATAAATCTTTAAAAGTTGAAAAAATATAATTAAAACTGTTTTACTACTTATACATGAATACTTAATGTTTTGATATGATGAAACTATGATTGAAGTGAAATACAATTTGTCTTTTGAAGCTGTTACATTTATTCTTGTAAGCACATTTTCGGCTATAATAAATCAATTGTTTGTGGCAAATTAGAAATCAGACATCACATGCGACCTAGTGCATACTTTCTAGAGCAATAGCTGCATCACTTTCTATCCTTGAAATGTCCGGCTCACTAAGGATAACTCTTTCTGATTCATTACAATTGATCCAATACTCCTCTGTTTTTGGACGAAAAAGATTGTGATAAGGATTAGCTGGATCCATTATGTATGGACCATCACTGGAAGTAAAAATATAAATAAAAATAAACATTTTGTAAATTTCGTGCGTCCGAAAACAAATTGCATAATGTAACGACATGAACGAGTAAAGTAATGATTGTTTATACGACAAATGTTAAATATCCTGAATAAATTAAAATACAAAAGGGAATACATCATAAAGAGCTGTGGCCTATATCTTCTATATTTGTTTTTATATACAAACAACACGATGAAGCGACATAAAACATACATCACGTTCTATGTTGATCAATGATCATTGTCACAGCGAAAAGATAAATGCTTTCAGATGACTATACAAATTTGGTGACTGCGAAATAGCAGATCTTTAACAAGAATGGTTATCTACAAAGTAACCCGTACAAGCGCGGGTATGAAGGACACGTTTTATAGATATTTATATATAATGCATGGTACTACGATATCAAATAGCTGTGATGAGGTGGCAAAAAAACATGGAAGTTGAATAAAATAGTGCTGTAGCTTAGATCTGTTACAGATTCCTTTTTAAATAGGGCAAAATCCAAGATCTTCAATGTGAACCTCTCCTTTAAAACTCATGTGTTGACTCTGATGATACACAAATCAAGTGAAAAGACCATTCTGACAATTCAAATGCAATTTGTTTACTTATTTCAGAAATTTGCCCCAATCAATATTTGAGTTGAAAATGGAATTTATTCTGATAAAAATACAGACTCAGCCGTTTATTTGTTACGTTTAGAGGACGTGTTTTTCAACAAACAATCGGCATTTCCATGGGAACTAACTGTGCTCCTCTTCTAGCTGACTTATTCTTTTATTCATATGAGGCTGGCTTCATACAGGAACTTCAAATTAGCATATGATATCCCGTTTGTAATAATTTTTCTACAGGTATGACCAAACTTTGAAACCAAATATTTGTATTATTGATAGAATTTAGTGTGGCTTTAAGTAATTTGTGGTAACGAAATTCTTGACTCAATAATTTACCAGTGAAACATGGATTACGGTCTTTGAAATCCAAAATGTCACTAGAAACACTGACATAGCGAAAAAGTTGGGGATATATACACACCATAAGATTGGGCCAAAGGACATCATCGTCCAAAAAAAAGGAAAATTAACAACAGGGGACAAAAAATTTACCCTTTTGTCGTAAAGTTGTATAGTTTCCCATGTGAAACTGAAAAGTTTTTGATCTAAAAAAGGACAGTGATTTTTGTTTATATTTGATTTACTCAAAGTAAGTTCCTTTGGGTAAATTTCGGAAATATATGAAAAGAATTATTGGTAATTCAACGGTTAGTGTTGTTTATCAATAAACTAACATTTAGACTGGTTATTACTGAATTTGGCAATAAACTATGACAATATCTATATATGCTCATCAGGGCAAAACAAAGATAAAAAACCCCGTAAAAACCCGAAAAAAATTGAAAAAAAAACAATAAACCCAACACCAAACAAAACAAAAATGTTGTAAATATTAAAATGAAAGTTAGTCTATCATTCAAATGACAATAGACTTCAACAACATATATGTTCATAAAGCTTAAAAGAAATGATAAATTGAATATACGTACGGTCTTCCATAATCGTCAAGGTTGTGATTTGTATCCCACTCAACCTTCATATTTTTGCAATCTTTCAGTTGCTCAAATATTCCGTTAACAATTTTTTCTTCTGTAATCCCACCAGGTTCTGGTCTGTTGAAATCTTCATATGTTTTTATAGCTAACAGTTCTATGGCATACGATGGCAGTTTGTGCTAAAAAAAAAATTGACACACCATTCATAACATCCCCTTTTTATAGTACGATAACTAGATGATATCTCCAAGTAATTAGAACAGATTAGAATTATAGATATATAAATATTTAACAGTTTATTCCTACGCCGGGTCTCTTTTCTGTGTTTATGTGGCGGTTAAAATGTCTTTTGTCCCATACATTTATCGATATTTTTTTCTTTTTTTAGTGCTGTTCCTATGGCTGAAGTTACTTTTGACTGAGGGTTTGTGGACTTAAATATTCAAAGAAGTCTCTAATATAGTTTTGAGAGAGGAAACATGAAACGAAAACTTGTAACATGACTTCCCACTACAAGGAGTATTGGGTGGATCTTAAGACCAAAATGCTTGGCAGAAATGTATTGACTAAAATGAAGCGTTGAGAATAGAGCATAATGTCTTTTACCCTTTCCAGCCTACTAAAGGTGGTATTAACTTATCTTGCATAACGATAAAAAGCCTTTTAAGCTTACTATAGAGTTTAGGTTTTGCTTTTTCTTGAAGAACGTACGGTGACCTTTGATCGTTGGTCTTTTAATTGATAGTTGGCTTATTTGCAATCATACAGCACCTCCTTACTTTATATTGAATATTGGTGTACACATGTTCAGCATTTATTGTTGGAAATGTATGTATTTTAAAACCAGTTGTTGGTATGATACGGGCTACGCTCTTCTTGTATAATTTAGGATGGCATGATACAAAATCCCTTACGGGAGGAAATGTCCTTGATTTTCTAATGATGAAGACATAATCTTTCGATCAGTTTAATCGAGGCCTGGAGCTGGCATGTCAGTAACTGCCAGTAGTCCTTTATTGATTTATGTTGATCATCATTATTTTGTTTCGTTTCTTCTCTTACTTATATTCTAACATCGGACTCGGACATTTTTTAAACTGAGTTTGATGTGTGTTTGTTTATTCCACATTGGCTAGATGTATAGGGGAGGGTTGAGATCTCACAAAACATTTTTAATCCCGCCGCATTTATGCAACTGTCTCAAGTCAGGAACCTCTAGCTTTTGTTAGTCTTGTGTGTTTTTTTAAAGTTTTGGTTCATTTATATGTTTCGGAATTAGATGAGGCGTCCATTTTGCTGAAGTAGTATACATCATTGCTTCGGAACAAGCTGAAGCCCGCCTCCGGTTGCGGATTTTTTTCGCTGCGTTGAGGACCCATTGGTAGCCTTGGACTGTTTTTCTTCTCTTTGGTCGGGGTTATGTCTCTTTGACACATTCCCCGTTTCCATTCTCAATTCTATTTGGTTCAATCGTCATTTTGTTCGTCCATTGCACATCTTGTTGTTTTGTGACCAAATGCGTATTCCTCATAAAGAATATGTCGGCCTTCCCTAACCTGGAACAGTGATGTAATAGGAAAACATAAGAACAAACTGTAAAAATCAGTTGCAAACTGCTTACTCAATAGATCAGTACAAAGCAACATCAGAAACAAGTAACATAGAACAATAGACATAAAGCATCGATGTAGTTACTAGTACTGAAAGCTAGTTTAAAGGCAATTACAATCATAAAGTATGAATCAGTACACATCCAACAGATTTAGTGTAACGACGTCATAAACAGTCTGAGAAACGCATCACCTTATGCAATACCAAACTATATAAGTAGTTACGTTTTACTTTTCAAAAACAAAATCAATGTACCAATAAAAAGCAATATTCAAAGGTGTAACAACGGCGTTAAATGCATAACCTTTAAGAATAAAAATTGTAATCAATAGATCAGTACAAAGTAACAACAGAAACAAGTAACATAGAACAATAGAAATAAAGCACCGATCTTACAGTACTCGCAGTTACTAGTACTGAAAGCTAGTTAAAAGCCAATTACAACTCATAGATAAATAATGTTCTCCCAGACTAAAGTATGAATCAGTACACATCCAACAGATTTAGTGTAAAGTCGTCATAAACAGTCTGAGAACAGTTAAATCGATTTATGACTATTGAACAGCGGAATACTCTGTTGCCTTTATTGTATTCAAAGAATCAAGTAGTTTACATTAATTGTATCAAACATTACGGACTTTAATCGTCATAACTGTATAAACTAAGATGTGATATCCCGTTTTTGATAAGAATTCTACTGCTTCAACCAAACGTACAATCCAAATATTTGTATCTATGAAAAAAAAAATGTAAAACTTTTAATGTGTGGTAACGAAATCTCCGACTTGTAGGTAAATTACGCGGGTATAGCGAACAAATTGTGAAAAATACACACCGTAAGAAGGGACCAGAGGAACATCACCGTCCAAAAAAAATCAACAAAAGGGAACAACAAATTGTCTCTTTTGTCTTAAATATTTGTGTATATTTGTGTGAAACTGACATATCCAATTTTTTGCTGTTTGTATCACATTCATTAAAAGTAAGTTCAGTTGGGTAAACGTTCTCTGTATAGTTAAAAATTCTTCATTATTTAAAGCAAACATATCATCCACTTTAGTTAATCTTGTCGATGGTTCTTGTCTTATTGACATAAACCCTACATCTTCTTTAAGTCACAACCAAAAGTCAAAGATATAGTATTTTGTTTCAATTTTCTGTTGTTTTTAAAAACCAACTGACGGCACAGACAATCAATTATGTGATATAAATATATAAGAAGATATGGTATGATTGGCAATTAGAGAATAGCCACCAGAGACCAATGGACGAGGATACGATAAAATTGTTTTTCTGTCTTATATGCATCTGAAAATAACTGACAAGAGGTATTGAAACTGTTTACAATTATGTCCAAACTTAGTGTTCCATAGTCTTTCTACTGTTTTGAACAGTAAAAAAATCAATTTGGCTTTAAATGACAAATTAAATGTATTTAAAAAACTACAAGATTGCTCTGTATTGTTAAAACAGCAGATGTGCAATACAAGTTGTTTAATGTTAAAAACAAATTGTATTAAACACAATTAATTTCAACAAAAATGCGACAAAGAAAATTCGAATAAACCATTATGAAACACCAACCTCGTTTGATTTTGCCCAGTCCTTTGTCACCCGAATGGCTCTTTTCACTTTTTCTGGTTGATTTTTCACAAAGGACACTTGAACGGGAGACAAACATTTGGCATAATAATCTCTCTGCTCTGGGTTTGCTTTCATTTGTTGATATATATTTGTCAAATCCTCTTTAGTGAAGTTTCCATCTGAATAGAAATATGCTGTGTACAAAATATGCTACTCATAAATTAATTATGGCTTAAAAAGGGATGACTTTTTAGATAATTTATTTTAAACATGGAACAGCTCTGTAAAAATCAGTTCTTGCAAGACTGAGGTAATGAAAACATGCAAATTTTTCGCAAAGGAAAACTAAAAGCTTGTTACAATATAAAAATTAGAAGATGTGGTGGAATGATTGGCAATGAGACATAAGACAACTCTCAACAAGAGACCAAAAGATACAGCAATTAACAACTGTAGGTCACCGAACGGTCTTCAACAAAGGGTAAAACACATACCGCATACTCAGCTACAAAAGGCTTCGAAATGACAAATGTAAAAAATTCAAACGTGAAAACTAACGGCCTGATTTATGTACAAAATAATGAACGAAAAGCAAATATGATATATAGCAACAAACGACAACCACTGAACTACAGGCTCCTGACTTTGGACAGGCACATACAGAATGTGGCAGATTTAAACTAGTTTGTAGGCGCCAACCCTCTCTCTAACCTGGGACAGTGGTGTAACAGTACAACATAAGAACAAAATATAAAAATCAGTTGAAAAGGGTTTAACTCATCACACGGATACAAAGCAGAAATACATCTAACAAAAACAGAGTGGACGTGGCTGAGTACCTATACATCCCCACAACAAAAAGACACTAAGTACAGATCTAAGAGTACTAATAATAAAAATCATGCATCCAAGACTAAAATACTAATCATTACACATCCAACATCCAATGGATTTAGTGTAAAGACGTGCCATTAACAGTCAGAGAAAAACACGACTTTGTGCAATGCCATGATACAGGTATCGACAGATTGTAGAGCCATGAATGTCTTTTTACAAAGGTTGTCTTGAGACTGACCTAATAACATTTACCATGTTTACTACATATTTTCATTTTTAAAGAACGATGCCACTATTACTGCACATAATTATAGGATATATTTGATAATATGCGTACAACACGTGGAAGAAACCGTCATCAACTATACTCAAGACCAAAAATTTGGAAAGCAAAAGATATAAAACATTGGAGAGGAAAAACACCAAAACAGCAAAAACAGAACAATTCTGCATTAGGGAGTATCAATCTATGAAATATTTGTACGATTTTAATTAAACTTACCCATACCACCCTTTGGTAAATTTGGTACGATAATTAAATCAACAGGCATACTGGTACCATCAGGTAACGTCATAGTAAACGAAATCGTAAATGGTGTCCTTCTTACATCAGACACTTTAAACGGTTTATTTTTCTTTAGATGTCTCCGTCGTGCTTTTTCCTCTTTTGATAATGGACCATTAACGGAAGAAAACGTTCCACAACAGAGTGCGGTATGAAGCTCATGCTTTATTTGTTTCAATTTTTTCATAAGGTCCTCAATAGATTTTATGTCGTTCACCACGAAAAGTATATCAAGATCGGATTTTCTTTTCACAGCAGTTCCTTTACCCAGAGAACCACCCTACAATTATAAAAAATAATATCAATATCAATGGACTTTTGCACTAGTTATCAGTAACTACGAGTATTCTTATATCGGTACCTTGTGTATGCTAGCTGTTGTAATTAGTTATGTTTGTGCTAAGTACCAACCTGTTGAGTCTAACTCGTTTCAATAGTAAGAAAATTTATAAAAAAAGCTGTTTGTTGCTTAGGGTAAAAATCGAAAAGACCGAACCAGAACACGTTTTCTATGTCAATATTTTCGAATATTTTCGAATTATAACTCTCATTCATCGACAGGGTCCCATTGACACTATTTAAACGAATTTCAATCATCACAGACATAGTGCTCAAGACGAAGTTAAAAGTTTAGAATTTATCAGATTCAGTGGGTGTTTTCAGGCAGAGTATTTATGCTGAAAAAGAAGTAATACAAAGCATTTTAATCCTAATATAAAACAATTTTACGTTGGTCCTTACTATACTTCTATAAAACAAATTTTGTTTCAAAGTCCCTTTTTACACTACCATAGTCTATCATTATAAGTAAACACTGCCATATAGTATAATTACACCTTATATAAGAAAACCAGATTTTGATTGGTTGATAGCCAGTGTATTTTTTGCATATTCTAATATTTTTTCCTCATTTCTAACGAATTTGCCTGTTTTTCACCACTGCAGGTGAATTTGCCGCAAATACCATGGTATTTGCCATTTTGGATATTCCTTTTTAACCCTTTTGAGCATTTTCCCGCCAAAACTTTTCGGATATGACGTTACATAAAAAAGCGAGCTAACACGTATTAGTACATGTATAATTCACGCGGTTCTCTGATAATATTCTCTTATCTTCAAAATTATGCATAAACATGTTAATGAATTAGTTTCAATCCAAATCTATTCGGTGTAATTAAGCAGATATATCATGTTATGGAGGGGTATTTGCGAAAAATACCAGTCTTTGGACCGAATTTCCCTCGCCTAGCGGCTCGGGAAATTTTACAGTCTCTTGACTGGTATTTTTCGCAAATACCCCTCCATAACATGATATATCTGTTCAATAACTTATCTGCAAGAAACTATTCTGTTTTTGAGGAAAAGCTTTTATGGTGCTTTTATAGAGTATATAAACTGTATTATAGTATGTTATTTTACAGTGCACTGCGTAAAAACTAATTACAGATTCAATTATCCAAAATTCTTCTAAAATGTAAGCATGATTTGAAATAAGAATACAAAGGTAACAAACTGATGATTAGATATGATGCGAAGTGTTTGTGTTATGTATAAAAATTTATTAAGAGTATAAATACACTTTGCTCCGTTTGGAGTCCATACGATTTCCTCAGGTATGTTCACTTTACCTTGATTTGTTCAGAATTTATTTATATGATTTGAACATCGATTAACCACTTTTGCTTCTACATTACAAATCATGTGATTTTTGCATAAAATAGGTATGTTCAAAGTTTGAATTGTAGACGAAATGAGGCGTACAAAATTAGAAACCTGGTATCTATGATTAGTTTATTTACAACCACTGGGTCGATTCCACTGCAGGTGAAGGTTTCCTCCCAGAGGGTATCACCAACACAGTAGTGAGCGCTTCTGTATTGATATGAATTATCATTGATATTTTCATAATTATAAATCAATAATTGTTAACTTTCAATTTTTCGAAATACTAAGAATGTTCTACCCAAGGAAAAGATTACCATAAGTTAGCTGGCAAAACCTTTCGGAATTTTGGGTCCTCAATGCTCTTCAACTACGTACTTTATTTGGCCTTTTTGATTTTTTTTATAGGAGCTTGCCTTGTGAGTCTTTTGTGGACAAAACGCGCATGTGTGGCGTACAAAATTTAATTCCTGGTATCTATAATGAGTTTATTGGACATCATTCAAGTTAAATAAGCCACCCCCAATATTTAACGATAGACAAATGGCATATATTAAAAAAATTAAATCTACGAAAAGTGGCTATATTGCATATTTTAATCCAATTTGTAATTAGGAGATATTGCGCACATACAAATTCCAAATGCATATTAACTAGGGAGGTGTTCTTGATATAGAGAAACATCCTTGTAAACTATTCAATTGTACTCGAATGCGCCCTTTATTGATGGTTACAAAATGTATTTGAAAAATAAAGGTTTATGACTTGTGAAACACCTCCTTTCCACACACAATTAAAATCAGTTGAAAATGATCTTACGATCACCATCACGAATTTGCTGACTGCTACGATATGTCTGTGTCTCAACTAACAGCGACATTAGATCTTAAGATACCGGAATAGTCGTCTGATTTGTAATTTTACCGATTGTATCTTATTTCCGATTGTAACATTTTGACTGAATGTGGATTAACGATTTGTTTGTTACCTTGATTAGTTTTCGTAATCGATTTATGTTAATTTGACATCGGAAAACTACTGTGTCTTACATTAACTCAATAGATAAGTACGAAGCACAAACACACAAAGTACCGACCAAAAAACATAAACTGCTTGGTAAATGAATTAGGTATTGACGAGGACATCCTTGAATTTCAACCAAAGATGAAAAACTGGATCTTCGTTCACCGTTTTGGATACCTAAACTACACAAGTATCCTTACAAACAACGTTATATTACAGGGATTCTAAGTGCTCCAATCGTCCTGAACATGCATGAAATATTTGCCACTGTAAGTTAAGCAACCAACAATCAATCAATCAATCGAAGTGCTCCACGAAACCTCTTTCTAAATTATTAACATCAATTTTATCAGCAATCAAAGCAGGGCTTCAAAGTTATTGTGAAACTACCTATTTTAGAGGTGATGTGAATCAAATGTGGATACTAAAAAATTCCAAAGATCTTTTAAAGAACATACAATCTAAGGCTCTTTCATCTTGCAATAGCATTAATACATTTGACTTTTCTACACTTTACACAAGTACTCACCATTTCAAACTAACAAACAAACTGAAAGAGTTGGTCCTGCTTTGTTTCATAAAAAAACAATGGCCGACGTAGATATAAGTATCTTGTCTTAAGGAGGGATAAGTTGTACCTTTTAAAATTCACTCTGATTCAAACAAAAAAATCTCTGAAACTGACATTATCAAGATACTTTATTTCTTGATTGACAACAAACTTTGCTCTTCTTGCTGACTTGTTCCTTTATTCATATGAGGCTGACCTCTTACAGGAACGTCTTCAGGAGAAAGAAAACAAGTTAGCAGTATCCTTTAATTTCACTTTCCGCTATAAAGATGATGTTCTCTCATTAAAATATTCACGATTTGGTGACTATGTTGAACGCATCTATCCAATTGAACTTGAGATAAAGGATACAACAGATACAATTAAGTCTGCCTCATATCTTGACTTACAGCTAGAAATAACAATGAGGGTCGGTTGAAAACGAAACTTTACGACAATAGAGATGATTTCAGCTTCCCAATTGTGAACTTTCCATTTCTATGTAGCATCATTCTAGCAGCGCCTGCATATGGAGTATGTATTTCACAGTTGATACGATATTCCAGGGCTTGTATTTCCTATCATGATTTCCTTGATAGAGGGTTGCTGCTCACAAGGAAGTGGTGAAGTTGAAATCATCTCTTCGTAAATTTTAGGAACGCCATCACGAGTTGGTTGACCGTCATGAAATATCTGTTTCACAGATGACGACGGATATGTTCCAAATGTCGTAACTACAATCCCGTCCCCTTTTCCCCGAAGTTAACTACCGAATTAGACTTATCACCGGGTTACTTATGTACTAACATGAACAACACTACGGATGCCACATGTGGAGCAGGATCTGCTTAACCTTCCAGGGCACATGCGATCACCTTCAGTTTTTGGTGGGGTTCGTGTTGCACAGGCTTTAGTTTTTTATGTGCAAGTTGTGTTTTGTGTACCGTTGTTGTCTGCTGGTTTCCTCTATTTGTAGCCATGGCGTTGTCATTTTATTTTTCGACTTATGAGTTTGAATGTCCCTTTGTTATCTTTTGCCTCTCTTCTTCTCCCAGAGTAAAGTATCAATCAGTTTACATCCAATTGATTAAGTATCAAGACGTCATAAACAGTCTATGTATCGATTTTTCTATTGGAGCAAACACAAGGGTTGTCATAATACTGATTAGGCCATAGGAGCCGATGCTTGTAACAGATTTATTACACTGAACAATAGGAAATTTAACATAATGTTCCTTTTCTTTTTTTATTTTTCTTGCAACTTCCTTAGACCACATAGACATTCAATAACCCACATTTCAGTGAGTGTTTGCAACTCATGTATCCCAGTGAACTCGATACTGTGGATTCATGTTAATTCATGGTATACCAATTTTCGTGGGTTTCGTGGTTCCTATCAAACCACAAATTTAAAAATTCAACGAAAAATAATAGTTGACTTGAGAAAACATGGAAACATAAAACATGGTTTTGAAATGAAATATAAAATTATTCATCTTCGCTAGCCAAGGGTTACGATCCACTTCCCTCTACACCCTTGGCAGATTAAGCCATCATTTGTGATAACAATGTTGCGCCATCTATCGGTAGATTAAAGTCACGCCCATTCCTAATACATTATTCTTGACCAATGGTAGCACTTGATCTCTTCAATTTGGAGGTAAAAACACGGTAGCGTCTAGATTCTACACACTTGGTAAAGCAGGAAACGAAAATATACGTTGACATTCATGCATTTGTGCAAGAAACATACACAGGAACGTCTATTAGTTGATTAAAAACGTTCAAATTGTCACTAAATATAGTCGTATGTTAAGGGATGTAAAGACTTGTTGCACAATAAGCACGTGGTAATTGTTTATATACACTTTCTACATTTACACGTGATCATGTTATAGACGCTTTTTGATTGAATGCAGCGAGTTTCGACTGCAACCAATGAAAACCATTACCTTGTGTCTCCGAAATTCTATCTCAATCCGCCAAGGGTGTAGAGGAGGGAAGTGGATCGTAACCCTTGGCTAGCGAAGATGAAAATTATTTGGATTATTCAAATAATTAAATCTTAAGAACATCAGTGAGAATCTATTTTTTTTAAATATTGTTCATGGTAAATAGCTGCAAGTTGTTGAATTACCGTGTCATAATTTGGGTTATTGCTGATTTAAACAGTACTAAATACGAGACATGGCCTTATGTGATAATGTTTATGACAGGAACATTAAATTCACACCTTTGACTTATTGACAAACTTTTAATAACGTAGCTCAGGTAAGACACAAATTGCTTTAAAAACAAAATTTCGATAATTGTCGTAGAAGCATTTTTGTTTACTTTATTCGGGACAAAACGACATTTTTTTGTAATAGAATTTTAAAGGGAGAATTGAGGACACAGATTGCATTTTAAATAATATTCCGATACATTGTCGTGTTTATTCCGGATAAAAATGTTATTTTTTCGAAATAAAATCATACTCAACAAAACGTTAAAGCAAGGAGCTGTGAGGACACAAATTGATTTTCAGATAGTAATTCAACATATTGTCGTTTAAGCATGTGTATTTCTATATTCTGGACAAAAACGGCACTTATTTTGAAATATAACTTTACTAAGCAAACTTAAATACAGGGAGCTGGGAAATATCAAATTGCTTTGAAATAATATTTCGATAAAAAGTCGTTTAAGCATGTTTGCTTCTTTATTCTGTACAGAAACGACATTTTATCAAAATAATAATTTACTTGCACATGGACGCAATGTAATGTACACTTGTAACCCATTCGATTATAATCCTTTTAGACATGTATACATATCATACATTATACAAATAAAATTTTAATTGCAAATTCGTTCATCAAAATTACAAGTGAAATATTTTTTTACGACATGAAACTTTAATTTTAGGATAAGAATAACCTTTTACATGTTCCCAGAGTTTATATAACAAAACCCCACGATGAGTTAATGTTGTATCATCATTTTCTGGCTTAAGTTCAAGCTTGGGCTGCAAACATCGTAAGCATGTTTTTTTTACTTTTGATCATTTTCAAATGACTGCTTATTGTGTCGTGATTAGGGAAAATAACTTTCAATCAGTTGTGCATTAAAGGGCTTGGAATACCTTATAAAATTCCGGCGAGAAGTTATAAAGGTTAAAACAAACAAATAATTAGTTGCCTTTGTCCCCGCTTCCGATCGAAGTTTTAAAATAACACTTTATCCTAGAATAATCAAGCGACGATTTTGACATTTAAGATGATTTTACGAATCCGAAACATTTAAAAAAAAATTGGAAACAGCGAAACACGAATTTACGTCTCCCACGAAATGTCTTTTTTTTTCCCTATCCACAGAAATTGATAACAACGAAAATAAATGAATCCACAGTATTAAATGGACGATTCAATATAGTATCTATGACAAACGTGCTGATTTTAACTTTCGAATCGTCAATTTCCCATTTCTCCGCAGTAAAATACCCACTGCCTAATCGTATGGCATTTACATATATCAATTAATAAGTTACGTTCGTGCATGTTTGCTTTATAAGGCCTTCGTTAACGGGGATGTGCTCCTTACACAAAAACTGCACCAACAGAGTTATGTGAAAAAACGACTGAATCGACATAAGTTTTACGGTCACCATCACGTATTAGTTGACCGATACGATGTGTCTGTGTCTCAAATCACAAACTACACGTTTTTCGCGGTCTTAGATTTTTAGATACAAGCATAGTCGTCTGACCTGTAGTTTTACCGATTGTGACATATTCCCGATTGTGACATATTCCCGATTGTGACATATTCCCGATAATGACATTTTGACTGAACGTGGATTCACATGGCGGGTATGCATAGCAGGAGACGTTCAACCAGTCCCGTTTGGATTTCACGCGATTCACTCGATTATTGTTTACAGTGATTTGTATCTTCTTAATCGATTTACGATATTTGACTATTGGTTAACTTACTACTATTGTCTTAATTTAGACCGTTTTGATTTGATTTTTTGTTTGTTTTGAAGCTCTCAACTTTTCATGTATTTGACTTTCCATCAGTTTTTAGTCTCGACCATTCTTGATGAATTCTAGCCATAAAACGCATCGTCCTCAGTGAATTTGCTATTTTTTGTAAAAATGTTTTACATATACTGGTAGTGAAATTCAAGTATTTTATTTTTGTGTTTTATAATCAATTAAAAGATCATGCGAGTTTATCGAGTTCTATTTATTCTGTTTTTATTTGAACAGTACCGATTGCGTTCTTACTTTTCAATTTTCCAATGAAGTTACCAATGACAATAACTCGTATAGCTCGCTAACATCTATATAGCACACAAGGAACTATTTCAGTTAATTAATATACCATATACGATGATTGGTTTGTTTGCTTTACGTCCAATGTCAAAATTTTAAGTATGTTCAAGACGTGTGCAATATACAGGAACGACCTGGATAATTGGTGGGAAATTTGGAATTCCACTAGAAAATGAGAGTAAATTCTTTATTCTTCGCATTATATATTCTTCGCATTATACTTTATAGCAAAAATTGTAGCTGCATTTTACGCACATATCCCTCACTGTCAATATTTTAGCATAACAACAAACAGTTTTTTTTTTCAGATTGTGCATACAATCATACAGTTCATTACCAAATAAAAAATAAAGAAATTTTACATATACTTAAATCAAAAATATTGAAATGGTATCAATTTGTGGTAACATTTTTCTTAACAACAATGAAATACTGAATAGGTATAGTATTTTTTAGGGTTAATATGTGAAAGAAAATTCATTTCATAAGAATACAGTATTATATTATATAATTTCAAAATTTTTAGTTTTACATATTCTACAAGAGCATTTTTCGAACTTGCATAATACTCTAGTTTTCCAGGATTTTTTTTATTGTGTTATAATTGGTATGTTTAAACATTGTGATTCAAGATCTCTTGAACGTTTCTATAATGTACCTAATGATGTTTCTTTCCATTTCAGAGGAAATTATTCGTTCAAAATAAAAATCCATAAGATATGAAAAAAATGTTGCTTCGCATAAAAACTCTTTAAACAATATAGTTACCTTAATAGTTGATGCAATGCTATATGGGGTGACTTTTTACATAAAGCTAACAATCAGATTGGTGCATTCTCCACACTTATCAAGATAGTTTGCATCCGGGTTCACGGCATCGTCTATGAATGACGTTAACTTTCCCCCTGACTCTCTGTCACCATAAGTTAGAGAATATGTCCCCATTTTTAAGCATGACACCTAATACAGGATAATATTTGATTTAAGATAATGCGTCTCTACAAAAGAAAGGTTGACTCTGTATGAGAAAAATCGTAAAATTTATAACTTATTGATTAAAGGGAATAAGACGAAAAACATTTCTACAAGAATTAATGTAATTTCCTTGGGTGTAAGGCTTACTATATTTTTTTTATTTCTTTGAAAACCTAGACTATGCTCAACTGTATTCGGTGGAGATTATAATTTAACATGAGACACAACCGACATTCAACAAAATATTTTACTATCTGAATTAGTTAAACGAAATGACAAAGTCTATGTCAGATTGAAACAACAAACCACCGAATTTGTCATTTTATAATAAGATATATAAAAATTATGTGCGTTTGTCTTTGAATTTCGTATGACAATCATTGCCCGTATTTTCCATTTAAATGTGACCTTCTCCGTAAGGTTGTTATGATCAGAAGGGGATGAAAGGACTGATTCCCCAACAAAAGTAGCATAGAAAAGTCCGTAAAGTTCCGAGATTATTACTGGCTCGATCAAGTTCTTTTGTTACCATTATGCTACTAGTATAATGTATACGTGGCAGTTAATCAGATTATGTTCATTGAACCTATGCTATCTTTTTGAAATTTGGGTATGAAAAAATGTTGGTATAGATTAAATACAAAAAGGTTATACTAAAACTGTGCATGTATTCCTTAATTTTTTTGGCGTTCCATTTAGTGTTATTTTGGTTTGAAACTTTCTGATATTTGTTTTCAAAGGCTAGGATTTGAGGACTGCACTGAGAAGAAGTTCATTCATTTTCAAAATACGTATATTATGCACCAAATGAGTAAGGTGATTGCCATTTCATATCGCGTATAGTTTTTTCTTGAAACCCCTTTAAAAAATGAAATCCTACAACAAATTATCAAATGATTTGAAGTCAATTTTACCGTCTTCTTTGTCAATTTACCTAACATAAATCTTCGTCAACATATGATAAAATGTTTGTGTCATGCGTATGATGCACGAGGAGTCGTTGAAGAACACATATCTGTACTTTGACAATAAAGTGTACATCCTGAAAACTGTAAATAGTTATCAATGTAGTAAAATGTCAATTATTTTGTATTTTAACCAGATACAGATTTTGCCAATGTTGGCTAACATGGCCTTGCCATAGAACTTGCATAGTAGCCAATATAAGCTCGCCTGTCTGTGATTTCCAGTTTATGTCATGTCAGCAATGCTAAACCACGGTTATCATAAGTAAATATGTGATAATGTAATGAAAAATAACGTTTCCAGTGAACATCATCAGCTTCATTGATAACACATTGAAATATTCACTATCATACTGACTAATAAAGACCCACTGCCAAAATACCAACACAATATAAGGATTAATATTCCAATAGTGCAGACATCTATTGTGACCTAATCCGTCTATTATCAGCACACTGATCGAAATCAAAAGGAGACGGGTTGATATCTAATAAAAACAGATGAACTTTGTTCATACATTGTATGTCTGTTCTAAATAGGACTGCTCGTCAGAGGTTTTCGTCTGTCATATCTTTATGTTTTAAATTTGTCAATTTCGGAATTTGGTCTTGATGACATTTGTTTGGAAGGCTCTGCTGTATTAAATCACTACTTTTTGTTATTTTAGACCAAAAGATTTTTTAGATTAAGAGTTTGATATATTGATTAGAAATTGTTCTATAATTTTAATTCCTCGTGTGTACATTTAGTCGTTTGAATACTTGTGTCGTTACTTTTGTTACTGTTGCATCATGCTTACTGGATACACAAAATGTTTTATAAAAGTATAGACATAAGGTTATCAGTAAACCATTCCAAGTTGCTTATACTAGTATTCAATTATAATTCAATATATACTTCTAATAAAATTCAATTGTTTAAAACTTTCAATTAAAAGAGTTGTTAATAACTGAAGAAATGGATGAATGATAAAAAATGAAAATAACACACAAATTGTAGATTTTCTGCGTCCGAAGCGCGTTTCTGGATTTACCTTCATCAGGAACACTCAAAATCAAATGTTAAAAAGCCAAGGATGTATAAGTAGCGAAACTAGTGAAGCTCTATATAATCAAAATGGACCTAAAATAATAGCCAATCCATATAAGGTCAACTTTTGATGACGTAATTGGAACCTTAATTTCTGAATATTATAAACGAACAATTTCAGGAACATTTGTTATAAATCATGTCAGTACAGAAGCACTGACTACTGAGCTGATGATACCATTGGGGACTAATAGTCCACAAGCAGTGTATCGACCCAGTGCTATAAAATGAAAATAACACTATGTAAATTTTCTGTTCTGTAGTTTGAATTCTATCAATACATTTTAATTGTCAAAAAATCGATTTATCAAAATCTTATATTTCATTTATTACCTGCAGTACACTGTTTTGAAATTCATGTTGCACATGGGCTTTCCATTTCCAATAGATTTAAAAAAAAACAACATAATATCCCTTAAAAGTATTGAATACTTGATAATTACTTACCTCAGAGTTAAGCTTCAATTTAGATTAAACTCTCGTCAAGTATCGTCTACGTTATTTACACGTTTTACTTTCATATTGCAAAAGTGAAACTAAAAATAAAATTTTAAAAAGCGTAGGGCAATTATACGAGTTAAGATGATTTATAAGCTGTCTATAAACAATGAGGATACATATTTTAATGTCCCAAAAAGTACTGGATACAAGATCTATTTCGTGAATAAACACTTGAGATCAATTGATTAGATTACATGAAAATTGAGATATCCACACAAAATTGATTTTAACGATGCACAAGGATTAAGTGTTAGATTGCATTTCATATATGCCCAATTATATAGGAAATATATTGTTTTAAAAGCGAACATCTGATACTAGTACATGATAAGTCTAAATAATCTGTTTTCGTAGCTGAGCAAAAAATGTGCTTTTTTGTCTCAGTCACATATTTCGCTACTTTTTGTTTTATATTTTGAAAATCGGTAAACTAATGTTGTCAAAAATACGCATTATGTAAAATCAATACTATTTTTATTTCTGTTAATTTACTTTTTATAAAATGTTGAATTATTCAAAATACTAAGGTTTTTTCAACTCAACCCCAGGCATAGATTACCCTAATCGCATGTGTGCCTACTTTTCAGTTTTAATGCCTTCCAACTATTTTGATTCCTGCGCCATTAATGACAAATATGCAGTAAAACGCGCATCTTGTTAATTAGTAACGAAACAAACAATTAGCACAAAATCCCTGAGTTTAAGATTGAATTTGACAATCTTGATGATATCGTAACTATTTAACTCATCCACCTTGTAATATGTAACACTCATAGCATAAATGTACAGTTTGCAATTAGTGAATGAGTGTCATGTTTAATATCTATGACAATAATGGTATATATTTTTATTCCATTAAGTAGTATTGGAATTGAGAAATTCTTGAAAACAGCAGAATATTTTTTTTTTGGTTGTCCACTAAGTAACATTTATACTATTCAAAATATACGTAAATCTCTTTGCGTAACTGGTTTTGTTAAGCAATTGAAATTCTCTGATAGAAAACTGAATACCATTTTCAAGTACGACTTATTGCATACTTTTTTCATTTATACAAATATGAATTTTTCTTATTGCTGATTATTGCACATGTATAGCCCCTGCTTAACAATAACTTCCAATCCAAAAAATATCTACTATGTAACGTAACTTTTTCTTATTGGTGAATGAATCTGTAAGTTGGAGATATTTTGAATAACCATTTTTAATACAAGTTAACCTAAACCAATGATATATATCATATCTAAACTTTCAAACTTGAATTAAGAAATTCATTTTAATGGATATACAAGTATTTGGAATAGATGTGTTTTGTCATTTATGAACTATCTTTGCATTAAACAATTGGTGTATCAGCTAAAGTAAATGTTCAGCATTGTGTACTCTAAGAAAAATGCAAAATGTTTCTATTTACACTGTAATGAATTGTAATTATTGAAAATGTTATACAGCAAAAAAAAAAAAAAAAAACCCAACATCAATCGGTTGTCATTTTGTGTTTGAAGGTTTTTCACGTTGAGTATGTAGCGCAAGGCTAGATGGAAGCAAAAAGTATGAAAACAAAGGTATTTGTGACAATTATAGATCACTTTGGTACCACAATGACTAGTACTATTTTTCACACCAGGATCAGCTTACAAATGACTTGTGTTTCCTGAAGTTAATTGATATGCCCAATGTGTACTGATACAAGCTTAGGCAAAGAAGACAGAACTTTATGATTGATACTTAAGTGTTCAAAACTATGTCATTTTTTTACTCATGCTCCTAGTTCACTCAATATGCTCTCGAAAAACGATTTCTGCTTAACTATTGTCAAAGTAATTGTACTAAAGGGACAAAGTAAAAACCGAGGAGATTATTCTTATCTACAAATCTCTAATCTATATGACAAGTACTCCATTTGTGATGGCGACCATGAGAATTGGGGAATGACAATCATAATAACTTGGATAAGAACCGCTTCAAACTTGAAACCATAGCCAACAAATAGATGTGTTTGAATATCACTTTTACAGAGGGTTGCTGCACTATTGATCTACGATCCCGAATGGCAAAGTTTAAAGTCATCCCTTCCAAAGTTATATAAAAGCCATCATTCAACGACAAAAACATTTTTTGTTGACGTCATTGTCAAATTACGTCACTGATGAGTCTTTTGTAAACGAAATCTAGCGTACAAACTTTAAATCCTGGCATCTATGATGAGTTGATTATTATCTGCTACACCATTTTTTTGGCGTCTTTGTAAGATTATTTGTATGTTTGTTTGAATTTCTCAGTCAGTGGCGTTGTATGCCTGTGATGTATGTTTACACAGTTTTGGATGCTAGGTCCCAATTATTGTCACACTAATAAAGGCAACAGTAGTATACCGCTATTCGAAATTCATAAATTGATTGAGAAAAAAACAAATCCGGGTTACAAACTAAAACTGAGGGAAACACATCAAATATAAGAGAACAACGACACAACAGAAACTCCACACTAAAATGCAACATACACAGAAACGAACTATAATATAACAATGGCCATTTTCCTGACTTGGTACAGGACATTTAAGAAAAAATGGTGGGTTGAACCTGGTTTTGTGGCTAGCCAAACCTCCCGCTTTTATGGCAATGTTAAATATAACATTAAAATGACAAGATTTCATGACAGGACTACAATACAAATAACTGGGAGAACATACAGGACAGAGACACACACACATAATAACTATCAAAAGGTACCAGGCTTATAATTTAATACGCCAGACGCGTGTTTCGTCTACATAAGACCCATCAGTGACGCTCAGATAAAAAAAGTTCGAAAGCCAAAACAAGTAAAAAGTTGAAGAGCATTGAGGACCAAAAGTTCCAAAAAGTTGTGCCAAATACGGCTAAGGTTATATGCCTGGGATAAGAAAATCCTTAGTATTTAGAAATAATTCATACTTTTGCAAACAGCAAATTTATAACCTCTTATGTTTTTATTTTTATTTTCATGACTATTGAACAGCGGTATACTACTATTGCTTTTATTTACCCAATTTTGTTAACATGACGGAACTATAAACAACTGTCATACAAGTGGGAGGTTTAGCTAGCTATAAAACCAGGATTAACCCATCTTCGGAAAATGCCTATACAAGTCAGGAATATGGCAGTTGTTGTTCACTTGTTCCGTTGATTGACAGCGTTTGATTTTGTTAGTTTTTATTGACTTCCCCTTTTGAATTTGCCTTGGGGTTCGGTATTTTTGTTTTACTTTTTTGATTCCGTCGACCATTAAGCTATGTTTCATAGGTAGTTATTCCAAATTTCACAGTTTGAGCAACCTACACTTTCTTTAAGTACAGTCAACGGCTCATCTTTGTGTATGTTCACAGTTGCAGATATGACACAATAGCTTGATTGGAACATGATACAAGTATGTCAGATTTTTTCTGATTCATAGCACAGGCAGTATTTAAATTTGGGACACATTCATTAATTTCGAATTTCTTATTTTTCATTTGATTACTTATCATTGTTCATTATATTGTAGTTTTTTATAATGCAAATTCATTTTATGTGTCAACAATTCGTCTACAATAACTTTTGTGAAAAAGATTTTTCATTTATTTATCCCATTCAAGGTAAATATGGCATCATAGGCAATCCTTTGAATAAAAATATTGTCATCTACCGCAATTGTTTTTACAACAAAATTGGCATACTTAGTATATGTGTAGCATACATCTGAATTTGTATATGAGTTTTATAATAATGTGTCAATATAAAAATAAGGAGATCTGGTATGATTGCCAAACTTTCCTCCAGATTTCAAATAAAGTGGATGTAGGCCATCATAGGCCACCAAGACTGATTGGACCATTATCTGAATATTTTCAATAAAAATGGTCCGAGGCTGCCATCTATTTAATTGTGTGATTTTTTTTTTTCTTTCTGGATTTTTAACTTCTAAACATCAAAACCAAGAACAATCTCAGATATTTAAACTGTCTGGTGTAGCTACCAACCAAATATTTTCTTTACAAATGTGATACCCTCTGCATTGCACAATCTTTGTGTGTACTCTTTGCGATTTTTGCATATTCTTTAATTGCTGGTCATTTCCTTTATTAACCCTATTAAAAGATTTTACATTGGCTGGTACACTTTTATAATTGAAGATTTTTGCAACAAGAGAGTTATTAATGTCAGATACTTCATCATTTCGATTAACTTTTTATTATCATTCATTTGCCATTGATGCAGTGAAGTGTCCAATCCTGTAATCAAATCATATTTTTGATTAACTTTGTGTGCAGGTTTGACGAAAAACATAGCTAACAGTTTTCACTTTCTCTCTTATGTGAAAATTTTCAATATCGGGGTGGACAGCATTATGTTCAATATTACTTCTTGGCGAATACAATAGTACATCACATTTCCATTTCTTATTTTTAAGGCTTATTCAAATCAAAATCTGACAATGTTATTTCCTTTGGTGTCAAAATTTAATCTAGACTAATTTCCTCTTTTTTTAAATCTTCTGCAGTAGTATCAAATCGACCAGTTACTTTTTCACTATACGATTGCGTACAGTCAGGTTGAGTAACTATTTACCCTTGAGCATGCGGTTTGTTCCACTCTTGTGGTTTGGATGTGCATGATTTGTTGCATCCTGCCTCTAGCTGCACATATATAAAATTCCACAAAGCAATACAATGTTTACAGAACCTTGCACAGCAATAGCAGTATGCACTTTAAACTTTATCCGTTCTCTTCAGCAGGACTTTCCAAACACTATATTGTGCTCTTGTCTGTGCCCTTTGCAACAATATAAAAACTGTTACAATGGTATTCCAATACAGTAACGTGTAGAGACAAGTATAGAATTTCTGCTCCTCTTATTGATTTTGATCACTTTGTTGGGACATTATGGTTCACATCACCAATAAAGATATTACATACGCATGTAAAGTCTTCATCTAATAATTCAAAAGGGTAGTCCAACAATATTTGGTTTGTATTTTTTACTGTAGGATGTGGCTGTCTCACTGGTGTCA